CAGCTGTACAGGACAGTTCCCTAAAGGTAAAGGTAAAGGTTTCCCCTTGACATTAAGTCCAGTCATGTCTGACTCTTGGGGGCGCTGCTCATCTCCGTTTCCTAGCCGAGGGAGCCAGCGTTTGTCCGCAATCTCTGTGGTCATGTGGCTAGCATGACTAAACACCGCAGTGCATGGAACGCTGTTACCTTCCCACTGAAGTGGTACCTTTTTATCTACTTGCACTTGCATGCTTTCAAACTGCAAGGTTGGCAGGAGCTGGGACAGAGCAACGGGAACTCACCCCGTTGTGCAGATTCGAACAGGTGACCTTTCGCTCAACCAGCCCAGCAGCACAGCGGTTTAACCCACTGTGCCACCTGCAGTCCCTAACAGTCCCCTACATAGTGTCTAATTTAATATCTGTGTAAGACCACCTTCCTCCTCTATCATTCTTATGGAGAACATGACCACACCATGAGCCCTCTTGGTGGCATTCAGAAGCCCAGTGCCAGCACCGTCAATGGTCTCTCTGCACCAGCAGCTCACAGACAGCCCTCTGGTGCCTATGGTCAGTATTATGTTCAGCAGATTCCGAGGTTAGACCAAATCCCTTGTCCTGGAGATCGGACTGCCACCAGGTCCTTGCACTGGCCCAGTTCTCAATAGGTTTTCGGCTGACATTACTCTACCAGTCTTGGTATCAATGCTACAAGTTCCAGTCCATGCCATAAAACAGTCATGGACAAAACCCTGCACAATTCCACCTGTGCTTTGCAATCTTGAGAACCTTTACAACATTCAAGATGACTGCTCATTCCTTTGCAGATGCCTTGTGCCTAATTTTATCACTGTGGATACATCTCAAGCAAGGTCTAAGCGTAAGATGCATAACTGTTAGATGTGGAAAGATGAAAAGTCGATGACACTGGATACAAAATATAATCCATCTGTGGAAGAAAGTGGCTCCTCTATTCAACCACATCCCTGCAGACACTGAGGCCTCCTTTCAGACTGAGATTCACAGATAGTGAACTGAGATCACTGCACACTGCTTGGTCGAATGTGGATGGACGTCTATAGCAGCAGTCATTTCCCTCAAGAGGTATTATAAAAACTGCTGGATGAGCACGACATTGTGAATGGATGAATAGCATTCATTTACCAAAAAATTAAGCATTGCATGAATATGCAGCCTCATGCGACATAATTAAAAACTAATCCTTATTTCATGATACCTTTGTATCTTAAATAGAAAACTATCTATTTAAATCTGATTTAATTTTTTAAAATCTGAGCTTTTCATTTAAATAGTAATAATTGATTTTCTCCACCCTGGAAGATTTATTCCTTTCTGCAATACCCCTGCTCACCAAGAAGTATTAGGGGGAAATAGTACCTCCCAGTCATTAATCCATAACTATCCAGATTTTCAGAACATTATCTGGTGAAAACTCTACCCTCTAGACTTCCTGATGGTGGCAGCTAAACGTAAAACCTGAGACAATTTAAAGGAGTCAGTCATTGTATATATAGCACTTACTCTGACAGCAGAACTGTGGCAGGTTATGTGCAATGCAGCAAGGAAAGGGCATTTGCTGCCCTTTCCCTGGAACTTTCCGAGGAAAGGCTTTCGGTATTATGCAGCTGGTTAGCAGGTCTACACCTTCAGCCTAGGTTTGAAGAGGAGCAGTTGTAAAGGGACAGCTTGGCTCAAGGGCTTGTACCCTCCAGAAGACAAAGGTATGTTGTCTTCTGCTGTGCTCTGGGAAACGGCATGAGGGACAGGGTGGGAGGAAACTAGCAGAAGATTTTCTGTGTCTGTGTATAGAACAGATTGTGGGTTCATTCCTGATACTAAGACTCCTGCCTCAGGGCCAAACTACACATATGAGTTGCACATTTTAAAAAAGTGTGCTTAACCTGGCCATTGGTATTAGTCATGGGATTCCGATTGGGAGCATGTACCCAGTCTGCCTTGGGCTCTGTGCCAGTTTCCTGGTTCGTCCCCTCTGCTGCCACATGCCCTTGGAAGGTGCTGCATCCTGCAAACAGCACCTCTGGGGGCAAACAATAGTCAGGTGGGCAGCATACTAATGCAGACTCCTGCTCCAGATCAAGAGCACCTTCTGGATTGGGTCTCCTCAGACGCCTTTTCTTCAAAACATCAGCCTTCGTCATTGTTTTTCTCAGCCACTGGTCACCCTATGGATCACTGCTCTCCAGGACTCTCTGTCTTGCACTGCTTCCTTCAAGACCGCCATGTCCATCCCAGTGTCTTCCTTTATGGTGTCCAGTCAACGGGTTCTGGGGTGGCCCCTTCTCCTTGTTCTGCTGATCATTCCCAGCATGATTGACTTTCACTCTCAGGACATGGCTGAAGTATGACCGCCTTTGCTTGATCTTGGCTTCAAGTGATATTTTTGGTGAAGCTCAGTCTAGGACTTCTTTGTGATTTTTGCAGACCGTGGGATGCGCAACAGTCGTCTCCAGCACCACAATTCAAAAGCATCCACCCTTCTTCTATCTGCCTTTTTCAGAGTCCACAACCTTACTACATTTTTAAAAATCAGGACTATCATCACATGAAGTTTGTGATTTAAGTATGTATTCCAATGCAACTTGCTCCGGGTTGTCTCTAAGCATTCAGTGTGTATTCGGAGGTGTGAAACATGCTCCCTACGCAGGGTCAGAGGACCTTGTGCTCATTTCAGGGCCGCATCCTGGTACTGCAAAGAACCCTTGGGCTATAATCTTGGCAAAAAGAACATTTGTTTGGGGTGTGTGCATGAAGAGAAAATAAGCAAGGCTATAACAAGAAGAGCCTAATGCTGGGAACAATAGATGGCAAAGGAAGAGGACGGCAGAGGATGCGGTGGCTGGATGGAGACACTGAATCAGTCGGTGTGAGCTTCAGTGGACTCTGGGAGATGGTGGAGGACAGGAAGGCATGGAGGAATGTTGTCCATGGGGTCGCAGTGGGTCAGACATGACTTCGCGACTAACAACAACAACAAATAACAAGCAGGAGTGTGTGAAGAGTTGTGTGGACACCCTGTTGTTGTGGAGAACAGAATAATATTTTGCTGCACTTAGCTGGCAATAACGTTGGAGTTAGTGCTTAACTCTTAGGGACTTAGTTTCTCAACTGTGCATCTGTGGGGGAGATATGCCAACATTTTACAAACCTTTTTTCTTAATTCTGTATATTTTTCCTCACTTGCCTGAGCCTCAGAATGACTATCAGATTAACTCAACAAATACTAGAGCTAGGCAGTTTTAAGAGTGCTTTCTGTACAAAATCGGAGGTAAAATTCCCACAGATAGGAGGTATGTGTAGGTTGATCTCTACATCTTGGGAAATGGCAGTTTGATTTCTGTGCCCCCCTCTGCCCCCCACTGATATACTTCCCACTGGAGAAGCATGCTTCTAAATAGAAAGTCACCTAAGATTGTTCTTCTGTGAAGTTTCTTCTTTCCCACTTGTACTCTTGTGGGCAATCTGATTGGTGACAAAGGCAAGGAGAGAGCAATTCACCACTTCCTGCCCTTGGGAAAGGCCCAGTAGCCAGAGGGCTGTCACCCGTGCTGTTTGCATAAAGGGTGATGACATTTAACAAGGTGGGAAGGGCTGTTAATCCTTCTATTGATGGCAGTGTCTGGCCATCCCCTGCTGTCGTCCCACCTGATATTCAGGACAGCACAATCCAACCCAACCAAGATGCTGGTTCTCAGCTCACATGTGAGATTAAGGCAGGCCAGGCAGGCCAGGCAGGCTGTTGCGGGGGGAGGGGGGGAGCGCAGATCTGAGATTGTATTGACCGGTGATGTTGGTCACACCCAATGACAACTTCACTGAAATGAAAAAAGGGGAAAAAATCCAGCAGGCTTTCTTCTGCTCATATTGAAAATCCATCAGTTCCATGAGCCAGGGAGCCCTAAAACTTGCTGCTGACTGAAACCCACAAGATGTAGGGGAGAGATCTGCAGCACAGCCAAATCTGAGAAGGGAGTTTGGTTGCTGTAATGGCCAGGAGATGAAAAGAGCAGCCCTCCACGTCAGGGTAACACAACATGATTAAAATACGACAATGACAAAAATGGAAGTTCTGTTGCGCACTACAAATGGATTTTGGACCTTGCCACAAGTAGGATAATGGAACTGAATAAGTTAAGTCAAATTTTAGATGTCTAGCCATGGCAATACATAAGTTAACATGAGACAATTCAAAATGCTGGTGATTGATTTTTCATTGGCAAAATAATTGATAAAATGAATGCCAGCAAGTCCTCAATTGGATGATTATCTCTCTCTTTATGTAAGATTTGGCACAAACTTTGTTTTCTGTGTTGCCTCACATCACACACTGGCTTCATTTGGTTGTCTTGTTAAACTATGGCTTAGTGACATGTGCCAAACGTTTCTCCTCTGGTCTTGCTGTGAGGAGTTTGAAAGCTTCTGCTTTTCATTACCTACAGTTTGTCCTGTTGTCCAAACTTGGCAAATGCTGATTAATTTCATGCATGGTTAGCATCAAGTAAACTAACTACAAACCATGGCTTATGAAGCTAATGCAGGCTAAGATTAACCGGTCTGCAGCTTATACAGTATGGCAGACCGTGGTTAGTACACATGTCTGTACTACTCCTGCCTGCATGGGAAAAGAATTGGGAAGCACAATGATGAAGAAAAAACTGAACACAGCCAACATACGATGTGATCATAACTTATTTCTGCATTATAGAAGGCATGGGGGCCCTTTTAGATAGGCCCTACCTAGATAGGGGGTCAAATTCACATTTGGAGATGCTGTCAGAGCCATATTTAAGTTGTGGGAGGGTCATTAGGCAAAGGGCCAGAAATATCCCCCCCCCCACACAGTATTTGTAACATAAGACGTAGTTACTCAGGTTCTACTTACGCTGGTGTCCTGTGGAAAGGAGCAGCTTCTTTCTCTTCTGCGTCTTTTATGGTTGAAGGGGGCTGTGCAGACGGGTGGCAACGGACCTTCACCACTTACCTTGCTGCACACTGAGCAGTGTTACTGCTGCCGGGGGTCCACTGCTCACACGCAGCACGTACAACCTTTGAAGGTAGCCCTCATCACGCAGGAAGCAGCTGCCTTTCTCTGTTGGCGAAGAGAAGCGTTCCTGAAAGGAAGCAAGGCACGGCTGGCCACGAACTGTCGAACAGTGAGCTTCTCTTCATCGTCCCAAAGCAATTTGCCCGGCCGTGTGCGCGCTGGAGCAGCAGGAGCCTCGTGCATCGCTGCTGGCCGCTCAGCACGCTGGTTTGTGATTATGACAGGGAGGAAATAATAATAATTCATGATTACAGGGCATACTCCTTCATGCACATGGAAACTCCCTGTTCATAATCCTGGGTCTGAAACTGGCTTGGCTTTGCCACTTCAGGGAACTGCATCTTAGTGGATCTGAGCCTTAACCAGTTTTCTTTCAAGAGCTAAAGGGAAATGGGTAGAGAGTAAATGAAATAGTAAGATCCACTGTGGCAAAACAGCTAATAGAAGTTTAGAAATCAATACAGACGACCTTGATTTAGTTCATCCACTCAGCTGTGGCGTTCTTTAAGGGACCTTATTCATGTCATTATTTTTCAGCCTAGCCTTTCATATACAGCTGTTGTGAGGTGAAAATACGTACCATTCTCCCCTGCCAGCATGAAGAGCAGGCTGTAAATGTAGCACCTAAACAGATCCTGGGGGAATGTGGCTCTACCTAGTTGGACATGGACAAAGTCTCAGATTGTCACCGATTTAAGATGACTGATATTGTGTTGAAGTACTAATTAATCCAAGCGGGGTTTTAATATAGATAACGTTTTATGTACTTACTTTTTAAAATCTATGTATTTATTGAGGCTTTGCTCCAGGAGCCCTCTTTAAAGGAGATAAAAAGAACAACTACCCAGAGCAGGGCCTTCTTTGCGGTGGCACCCAGGTTACGGAATGCGCTCCCTGGAAAGGTGCGCCTGGCGCCGAGTCTATATTCTTTTCGGCACCAGGTTAAAACCTTTTTATTTAATCACTATTTTAAAAATCAATTTTATCATTAACAGTCGCTTTTTTGTTGTTTGTTTTGATTTTTATATAATTTCACTGTTATTGTTTTAATTCTATGTTGTAAGCCATCCCGAGATGCCGAGGCATGAGGAGATGGCATATAAAAGTTTTAAACAAACAAACAAACAAACAAACAAACAAATAAATATTGAATGGAGCTGGTCTTTGACCACAATAAAGTCTATCCATCCATCTATCCATCTGTCTATCTATCATCTAAACAAATTCTTCTTCGAACATTAATCTCTTGTTCCCACAGTGCTCGTTTCAAGAAAGGATAGTGTCCTTTCCATAGTCCAGTAGGCTAAATCTGAAAACTAAACCTGTCACCCAAGCCATGTTTAAAGCATTTTTGTGCAAGCACTGTAGCCATTTGGTGATGATGTTCAGTTCCTTGTGTTGCACTTTCACCGAGTCCACTCAGCAATACTACATCAAAGAACATATAAATGCAGACAGCTTCAGGCACCTCTCACGCATGTGTAGCCCCTGAGGGACCAAGCTGTGCATAAAGAAAACTTACAAAGGAGTATTTCAGGACAGGAGCCCAAACTATGAACACACAGCATGAACCACAGAGGGTATGATCAGTATTCATGTATGTTCTCTCCAGATACAGGGCTAAACTCATTTTTACAGACTTCCCAACATGTTTGGTGCAAGGGTGATCCTCGCCTTCTCCCTGATCTGAATAGAATAGGGTAGAAATCATGTTAGTATGAAGCTCAGCACTCATTTGCAAGGGAATCAACCACGTTTCTCAGAACACAGGAGTTATCGTCTCAGTGACGCGCGTCGAGGCTATTCACACAAAGGCTCGTGGCACAAGAAGAAAAGATGGGTGACTCTCAGAGCACAGCTGTCTTTACTATGGACCACAGTTCGGATAATAGTTGCAGCTAACAAAGAGACCTAGTGGCCAACAAAACATCATGCTATTGGTAGTACAAGAGCAGCCAATCACAATCACAGAAACAAAACAACTGAGAAGAAAAGGAAAAGTTAACAACAAAAGCCTTGTCACAGCAGATGCGTTGTAAGTACACCTCTGACAGCAAAATCAATTTCCATATGTCTTCAGATTTTTTTCTTTTAAAATGAATAAGAAAGGGAACATTTTAACTCACCATATATTTCCATTCCTTTACAAATGCAGAGTATTTTTTTACAATTAGGGTAGTGGTTCTTCCTGGTAGGAAGGCGAGTTTAGCCTTTGATATCATTTATGGAAAGAGCTCTAGCTGTTCCCAGACCAAAACTAGCAGAGTAAGAAACATTCTTCCCCATTAGAAACAAACCGGGCAGCCTGTTACTCTTCGACATGAGCAGCAGCAGCACCAAACAGCCGCCATTATCAGCAAGCCCAAACAGCTGCTTTCCTCTCCAAGCATCACCACCTCCCTCTGCGGCCAAGAAGCAGAAGAGGAACTCAGCTGAGATCACCCAGTGGGAAGCCCAAGCAAGGGCATGATACTCCCTTAATTTCCTCTGTAGCTGAGAAGGGCGGCAGCATCTACAAGACTCAAGCAATGCTACCATATCCTGCTAGTTTCCCTCAACAGAGAAATAATTCCATGGCCTGCACTGGGTGTGTGTGTGTCCCCCCCCCGCCCCTCCCGGCCTGGAAAGGAACTCTCGGTGTCCTTGATCACTCCCACTTGGTTCAAGCTTTGTAATATTTGAGGAGCACTTTCCCCCCGTCTGATGTGAGCTCACAATTCTTTTTAGGCACTTTGTCTGGACAAGAACCAAGCTGCCACTATATTACTCCAGGAGCCAACGTAACCCTCAAATGGGTGAGCGTATTAGTGAAAATGCCAACGCGATACCGAAACTGCAGAAACTTGAATGACTCGGTTTGATGGGCCATGGAACGCTCTAGAGAAGGCAGGGCACCATTGTGTGGCAACGGGATGATAGACCAAAGAGTTTCCATGTGAATGTGCTGCTTTTACTTCAGTTCTGGACGGTCCACATAAACACTCACTGTCCCTTCAGCCATGCTTCCAGGACAACGTTAGGACCCGTGGAATCTTTTTAGATTAAGGACGCCCTTTAATGTCCTCTGTCCTTTTCGGAACAGTAAAAGAACAAAGCCCCTACAGTGCTCCTGGGGAAGAACTGGGTCTATGGACTTAAGATATATGATTTATTTATTTACCATCCCACAACCAAAGCTCTCTGGCTGGTTCCCACAGTGCGTAAAAACTGATGATAAAAGTACTATAAAAATATAATAAAATCAGAAAAAACATTTAAAAGTCTAAAACAGATAAGAACAGGCAATAACAAGGAATAACAAAAGAGAGAGAGAAGAAAAAAGTGACTCTGCAAGATACCCCTTAAGCCCCTATGTTGCTCAGCAAGTCTCAGAAAAAGCCTCCGAAAAGAGGGGCGTCTTAAGCCAGTGCCAGAAAGATGACAGACATGGTGCCAACAAAGCGGCAGTGGAGAGGCTATTCCAGAGATGGGGGGCCACCACTAAGAAAGTCTCTCCCTTGTTGCCAACCTCTGCACCTCGCTCAGAGTTTGCACTTGGAGGAAGCCCCAGAAGTTGCGTCTAGTGTCCGGGTAGAGTGTGGTTGGGAGTGGCACTCCAATAGGTATGGTATTCCTAACCCACGTAAGACTTCATAGGTTAAAACCAACACCTTAACTTGGGACTGGAAGCATACAGGTAGCCCACGCAAGTAGGCCAGAACTGGTCTTACGTGTTTGGATCTGCGGATCCTGGTTATCAATTTGCACTGAATGCAGCTTCTGAACCATCTTCAAGGGCAGCCCCACATAGAGTACATTGCAGTAATCTAATTTACTAGAGTGTAGATTACTGAAGCAGGCTAACCCTGTACCTGGGCCACCAACCAAAGCTGGTAGAAGAATTCCAAGGCACCCAAGACTCAAATGACAAAGATGAATCAAAGAGCATCCCAAGCGATGAACCTGATCCATTAGGAGGAATGCAACCGCATTCAGGTTCAAGAACAGGTTCAGGTTCTGATCATCTCAATTCAGACAAAAGAATCTCCTACGAACAGCATCTCAGTCTTGTCTGAATTGGGTTTCAGTGTGTTGGTCCTTATCCAATACACTGGCTATGGCACCAGGTCAGTACATCCACAGCCTCAGCTGCTGCTGATGAAAAGGAGAAGTAGAGCTTCGTGTCATCAGCATATTGATGGCAACACGCTCCAAAACTCTGGATGACCCCACTCAGTAGTTTTATTTAGATGATGAAGAGTAGTGGGGGGTGGGGGGGGGAACAGTCCCTGGGGAACTCCATACTGTACCCTTTCTTCTGCAGATGGCCCTCCAAGTAGGAGAAGAACCATTGCAATGCGATGCCCCTGCTCCCAACTCAGAGAGTTGCCACAGAAGGATAGTGCCCAGAGATCTAGTAGTATCAACAGGGCTGCACTCCCAGTCTCTCTCCCAGCACAGGGTATTATACAGGGTGACCGATCTGCCACAACTCAGCCTGAACCCTTCGCTGCAATGGGTCCAGATAATCAGTCTCGCTCGAGAGTGCTCAGAGTTGGTTGGCAACTACCCTCTCTCGACCCTTGCTTACTACCAGCTTATTCATATCTTCTAAGTGAAGGGAGGCCTTTTTCAGCAGTGGCCCCACTGCCGTACCTCTCTAAAGCGGCATGGGACCACGCCTTTTATTCACCTTCCTGGCCCAGCTGGTTGTTCCTGCCTTGCTGGTTTTATAAGCCAGGAGAGGAGAGGAGAGGCAAGGATCCAGCGCAGAGGTGGCTGCGCGAATCTGTCCAGGCACTGTGTCCACATCTGCACACTGCACCAAGTGAAACTCATCCAGTCGGCCCAGGCTGCACTCTGGGTATCTCCACAGATTCAGCTGATGTAACTCTGGAGTCCAAGGCCTAGCAGAGGCAAGAGATTTTCTTCTGGAAGTGCCCAGTGAGTAAATCGGAGCATGCCTGAGATGGCTCCGTGATGTCCCTGGGGCCAGGATGTCATAAGCCCCATGCAACCCTGAAATGGTCCGTGGGGCAACAAAGAGAAGACTGAATAGAGGCAGTTGGATATTCTTTTGCCACCCTCCTTCCCACCTCAAAAGATACGCAACTGTAGGCATGTACGAGGCATGTCTGTTGCGGTCACTGGGGGTTTTCCTCCCTCTGTCTCCTGAGTTGTTTCATTACTCTCAGCTCCAGGACATACTGCAGAGCCGTGCAAGCTCTACAGCAGAGAGGGTGCCTAGAGTGATCATGTCAACTGCCCGGATTCTTTCTGTATTCCATATTGCAACCAGAGCTGGAAAATCCCCCAAAGCCCTCAGGAAACCACCCTGATCCATTAGCCTCCAGGGCCAGAACTCCTTAATAGGTCCGCTGCCCTTGTGGAGGAGAAGAGCCACCATCAGCCTCAATCTCAGCAGCTGGTGCTCTGACTGCCTTGAAAGCCCATGCTCAGAGCACCATCCTCACAGCCAACCAAGAAGATCAAGTCTAGAGGAAGCCCTGCCACATGCATCAGGCCAGCGACATGCTGGGATAGCTCCACGGTTGGCATGGCAGCCATGAACTCCCGAATTCTCACAGACCACAGAAAATCCCCCTCCCCAACCCTCGTGGCTACCCAGATGCTGAACCACATCCCCTGGCGGTCGCAACTGGGAGAGACTAACTCCTCCCTGTTCACCCACCCAGCTCTCTGCTACACGTGCCAGATTGGCCGCACCATCCACTATTAAGCCATGGACGGGGTGGGGCTTATTCTGCACCAATCTGGCAAGAAAGATCAGCACCCAGAGACTCAAGGTCAAGCGAGCATGCCAGCCATCAAACCCATAGGCGTGGAGAGGCTGTTTGCTGCCTAGGCCACATTTCCCTCACCTGGCCACTCCTCCCCCACTGCTGTATCTCCCTTGGCCCACCGCTGTGCTAACTGGGACCCCCACCATCTCCCTCCTTGGCTCCATAGCCGTCTTCTCAACCAGGTATGGGGCCACAAGGGCAGGGGAGGAGGGAGAAGTGGAATGGCACCCTCACTCGCATGCCATCCCCAAGGGGCATCCCAGAAGGTTAGGGTGCTCTGAGCCCAGGAGGCGACTGCTGAACAGCCATGCCGGGTGCCTCTCTGTGCAGCGATGGTCTTTTCTATGGGAAGCTGTATGGCTGAGAAAAGTCTGATATTTGACTTGGCCAGCTAGACCTCACAGATAGAATGAAACAATCCAGCAAGATTCTAACAGACGGGGCATAGTCCTTCTGACTGTCTCCAGTGCACAGGCATCTGCTGCAAGAGCATAAATGGGAATGATATTTCTTTGCTCCATCATTAGATGAAGAACTGGCCTGAGGAAACAGACTGGTAAAGTCTTTGCTGGCATGTTTGGAAGTGAAAAATTTCCAGGGGTTGGAGCCCTGAAATAACTGTTCCTGCTTGTGCTAATCTTCTGCTTTATAACCACATGAGTACTTTTTTCTTAATTCTTTTCAACTAGGATAGCTTTAAGGGGAGTCCAGTCCACTATATTGGCTAATCTGATACTTACAATCTTCAACTGCCCCACAGGAGATGGAAAAAGGAAGAATTCAACAGCAAGATGGCTATGAGGAAGATCTCATTCAACGCACCCTAGATATCTTTGAATTTCTCTGGTCTTGCAGTAGTGGGATGTCTTTCCTAAAGATGAACTGCCCTGGCAAAGACAGAATCGGTTTCACAATACAGTCAAAAGCACAAACACAGCCATTTTGCTGAAGCTAAGCAGGTCTGGATCTGATCAGTGCCTGGATGAAAGACCATCTGCAAATACTACGCTCAGTGTTTCATAATGTCACTCTCATACCAAATTTAACTCGGCAGTGCCAACAGGAGTGGGGCCAAAACGGGGCTACTGAAAAGCAAGTACGCTTGGGGGACCATCCCAACGTTTGCTGAAATTTAAAAAAATAAAAATAAAAACAGGCAGGCAAATTTTTTTTAAAAAAGAGGCTACCATCTCTATATTCATGGAGCACTGAAATACCGGTAGTATGCTGGTAGGAGGGATGCCTTAGTTCAGCTCCTTACAACTGTTGCATTTTGGAGAAAGGAATGACTTTCTAGGTAGATCTGTATGTCCTGGCTTTGTTAGAGAGCTTGAGAACAGTACTTCTTTTGAAGGGATTAGACCATTTAGACTCATCTATACGGGGAAAAAATAGGAGAAAGGGACAGTTGCTGCTTTGGCTGGAAGGAGAAACAGATTGGGTGGCGAGTTGAGAACTTTCTCTATGATCTCTTCTCCTCAGAAAGCCCAAGTGTGATAGTAGTTTCGAATAAAGGTGAAGAACAGCTCAGCTGCGGACCATCTATTATGTCTTGTGTCAGATATGGGGAAACCCTTTTATGTTTCTCAGGGTACACAAGCTGGTTAAATCCTGAAAGGGTGATGAGTTTGTATTGCCCATATTTGTATGCCTCTAGGATCAAACTCCGGATGTTTTTTGGTGGTTGGGGGAATCCCACTCTCCTATAAGGCGGGGGAACAGTCCAGCAAGATTTGTTTGATTAATATGGAGTTTGTCCCTATTCTGGAACAAGATGCATGTCGAGTCCTTAAAAGGTAATATATGGACCTAGAACTTGTGCTACTAGAAGAGAAGCAGCATTTTCTGCATTTGTGGGGAGCATTTTATTCATCAAAGAACTCAGTTTTCAGAGATTAGGAAAAGTGTTCTGCAGACTTCCAGAACAACTTACGTGATTCTTGTTGGAAACGAGGCTTCCATTATTTCCCCTTTTCCAGATATTCTATGCAACTTCCCAAGGGACTAGGCAGTAAATGAGAATTGAGAGCCTAAAGTCTGGGCCTAATCAAACCTCTTCTTTGTAGCCAGCAAGATTGAGTGAGTGAAAAAGGATATTCTTGACTTTGGATCCCACCTTTTCTAGCGCAGGGGTGAGAAGCTGTATTAAACCCCAGTTTCCTGGGCCTCAGTTTGGGTGCTCTGTAGCGAGAGCCTTCTCTGTTTCTCAGCCACAGCATGTGGTGGAGGCGGTCAGCCATGGAGAGAGGAGCACAGCTGTGTGGGAGGGGCTGCAAAGGCGGCTGCTCAGCAGTGCTCCTGATCATGTGAAGGAATCACACCCAGTCTCGCCATTGCTTCATTCACAATGGAGATGGGAAAAGGCAGTTCTTGCTTCCCTGCACTGACTGGATCTGCAGAAGGCTGGTTGGTGAAGGGTTCATGGAGCCCCTTCTCAATTCCTTCTCTTTCAGATCTGTGTCAGGGTAGAGGGGAAGGCACAGCAGCTGAACAGAAAATAAAGAGACATAATGAAGTGGATTTAAAGGAATATAGAATTCTCCCCCCCCCCCGAAAAAAATTCTGTTTCTAGCCACCAAATTTGGTCTGGGAAAGCAAGGAAGTTCCTCTTTTTGGAGAGGTCTAAGGTTGATTTGGTTTTCCTACCAAGAGAAGGTTTTACCCAAGATGTAAAGACTGAGAGATAATGGACTTTATTTTCTACTAGGTTGAACATCTATTGCAATATTTTGTCTTGTGAATGCCAAGGGTGGAATTAAGAAAAGGAAAATAGATTGTTCAAAGAACGATGTGCCACTTCCTATTTCCCCAGATACAGTGAAGCAAGAACAGATAACAGGACACGACTTGTCTGAGAGTTTCCGATCCCCTTCCCAGCCCACTCCAGTCCAAATTATAGCAGGCATTTCCTTCATTAATATATCCCTTTCCCTCCCTTCTTCAATGCTCAAAATGAAAAAAATATGTATATATAATTATGTATTGCTTCTTTATCCCTAACTAGCTCTTCTCCTTGCTGTTAAGCATCTTTCAAAAATTTAATTTCATTATCTTAAAGGCTCTTGACTCCACCCTCACATTTCATAGTTGTAACAACCAAGTCTAGTTATCTCTTTGGTTAAAATAAAATACACACACACTCTCTCTCTCTCACACACACACACACACACAAAAGCAACACACTGCCCAGCATCCTCCTATTTCAACCTGTGGTGTCCGGCACAAAAGTGTCTTCAAGAAGGAAGCATTAGTGATGAGCTGTCTGCTCAATGGAAGTTGGATGTTTCACTTTCCGCTCTGTCGACTCCCCTTCTCTCATACAGTTGTTGCTGGTCCATATGGAAACAAAAGAGGGGAAGTCTCTTTGATCCGAACATAGAACCTGCCATCAGGCCAAGCCTTTTGGAGTGAGACAGGCAGGAAGTCACTTGGAAGCCACTGCTCAACATCCTCTGACACGAACACTAGTCCAAAGTGGCCCAGCTGTTCTTCCCCGTAGCAGAAAGCATCCGCGTTTCCCAGGACGTTGCGCGAGACTTCATTCATCTCCTGCACCACCAGCTTCACCACATCTTCTGCTGACATCTGGTTGGTGATGTGCAGCTGTGCAGAAATAGAGGAAAGTAAGAGAAAGAACAAGGACACAGAAAGACAAGGCAGACACAAACAATTTGGCTCCCCCTGGAAAATATACCTACTTACTGAGAAATTAATTTTGCTTCCCTCATCTTTCCCCAGTTGCAAAGAATGTCCTATAATGGCTAAGCCAGGGGTCCTCAAACTTTTTCACCAGGGGGCCAGTTGAAAGGTGCTGGTGCTGCGCACGGACCAGAAAGGTGGTGCCGGCGATGCACACGAGAGCGGTGTGTGTGGGTGTGTGCGCTGAGGGGGGCGCGCAGTGAGGCGGGGGCGGGCACATACCGCGAGGCGGGCGCACACTTGGAGATGGTTTTCCCTGGGCGAGCAAACCGCTGCCTCCCTGCGCGTGGGGTGAGGTGGGCGGCAGCAGGCGTGGGCGCCCGGACGGCAGGTCCAAATGGGCAGGGCGGGCCAGATCCAGCCCCCAGGCTGTAGTTTGAGGACCCATGAGCTAAGCTGTTGTCAAGAAAAACAAAACACAACTAAAAACCCTGTACACAAGCCTTGTGTAATCTGAAGCATTGTCCTAGTTACAGCTGAAGATCAATCAGAGTGTGGTGTTGCTGTCCATAGGCCTTTTTGACAAATAGGGATGGACCTGGCAGTACCAAGAAGAGCAGAATATGGAAGATGCTCCAGTGATTTGTCAGAGCAGCCTGATTACTCCTTTTGGTGTACAACTAGTGGGACATAAGGACTGGAGTGTGATGACATGCACGCAACCTTAGAGAATTACAGGACATCTATGTTGTGAGCCATCCAGAGACACAAGTAATTGGATGGCATACAAAATAAATAAATAAATAAATGACCCAACTCATCTTTTCCTGCTACGAGGTCAGACCAAGGGGTGGAAGGAGCAACAGAAACTGAGACCTTGCCTGTAGTCAAAAGAGCTATGTTTTCAATCAGCAGGTCACCATCATTCAATAGTGAGAGGTCAGGTTGGCACTCTAAGGTTTGGGCCAAGCTTGGGCTTCATGTCAGTCATGGCTAAGGCAATGAAAAATACGGGGAATATGACTCCTTCCATTTGAGCCCTGGAGGACCATCTCCCAATGAGGATGGTCTGTAGGTCATTCTATCTAGATCTTACGGCCCCAAAAGTAGCCCCACACTAGAGGCCAGTGTTAGCATCACATACAGCCGTGGTTTGGAGACTGGAAGAAGGAATAAGAAACAAACTCAGTCAAACTTTAGACAGTTTCACTAAAGAGTATCTCTTTAATTGTGTGAACTGCCTTCAGAAGACTGTCTGTCCGGAGAGATGATATGTAAATATATTCAATAAATGCACAGGTTTAGAACCCTGGCTCAGAAGCCAGATCCCAAAACCAAAATATAGTTATAACCAGCACTGATCCTGGTAAGCCAAGGAGGTTTTAATAAAACAATATTCCCTCTTACACTAACAAAATATCATCTGGGAATAGATATAATTGGCCATTTATCCTGTTCTGGCAAGTTCTGGAGCTGTAAGGACTGGAAGAGAATAAAACAGAGAGGGAACCCTGTGTCCATAGAGCTTAGACAGAGGGAAGGAGGTCTGGTTTGTAGGACCAAAGAGCAGTAATTATCTCTCCCACTGTTTAGCTCTCCAGTGAGATTGAAATTCTTTCTGCCTTAGTGACCACGACGTAAACATCATTACAGCTATGGCAGTAAGGTTTATGGGTCACCATTTAACCAATAAAATCACATTGCATTTATTGCTATCATTATGTCAACTGTTTCCGGGTGTATTCATGGTTTTACACCCTGGAGGTAAGACTGTACTACCATAATCTAGAGCACAGCCCTCTGTCCCCACTAAATTGCACTTAAAAATCTGATTCTATTATATGTCATGAAATTCTTAGTTAAGCACCTAATAATCGATAAGAGGGACATGATCAAAATTCAAAGTATCATGGCTGCTAGGCGCACTATTAGATAATAAGATGTTGGAACCAGGAATTTTATGTTTGGGGGCAGTGTCAGGGTTCCTTTAATGTGCAATGTGTATGGACCACATCACCTGAGCGACATTCATCTTCTGTTTGTCCCTCATTATGTAGGCGCACAGGATGGGTTGTGCACCTAGCAGGTACAAACCAAGAATCGGACAGACTATACTTTCTGTTATAATGTTGCATTTTCTCTCCCTTCTCGATTCTTTCTGGAAGTGCAAGAAGGCAACGGAGCCAGATGGAAGGATCTTCAGCTCATGGGAGTGATTAGCAGAATTCTATTTTTACTGATACCTTGACACTAGTCTCTTTGGAGAGTCCCGTTTCATACTGAGGGCACACTCGCAAGGTGAAGGAACCTGGTGACTTGCCCTGGCTTGTTAGGTGTCCTGGCTCAGGTGTCTCCTGGAAGGTGCGAGTCCACTCCACTGAGCGTGTCCGAAAGACGGGCTCAGAGCTCTCCGCAGGCCAGCTGTGCTTGGGGCTGAGTGACGAGTCTGTCCCAAATCTCACAGGGCTGCAATGGCCTACAGTCCTGCTTTCTGTTGGGGAGCTGTCAACGGAACCAGGACACGATTTCCTGGCCCCGTGGCAGAACGGTTTGGGGAAGTCCAGGCTGCTGGTGCGCACGCAGTAGGCCTGCCTCTTCTCTGTGATGCGCAGAAGCTCTATTTGCCGGCTAGGTAGTACAAAGTCGCTGTCGTAGAGCTCTGGGGGAGGCCGGGGCTCCTCTGGAGGAACTGGGGGTGTCTTCAGCTCGTGACTCTGTAGGACATCAGGGGCACTGTCCCGCAGAGGGCGGGGGTTTTTCCTGCCACAGCAGTCAAGTCCCGAAGAGGAGTAAACGAGGTCAAGCTCCCTAGGGCTTTGGGCCCTGCTGGAATCGTAGTCACTGTCCGTTGCTAAGAATACTTCGGATGAGCCCTCCTCATCTGAGATGCCGTGAGAATCTGCAAGAATAGGATAAAAGGGCCACATTATCGCCCAGAGGCTCAGTCTCACTACTCTTTGAAGTACAGACCTAATATTGTGAATCTAAAAATCTCCCAGTTTGAAAAAGGGCATACAAAGAAGTATATCCTATCATCCTTCAGCCTGTGTTAATGGAGAGGCTATATTGTATTCATAATATAATGGCAGTGGAGCCTCCAGAATAAACAGGTATTTTACATTTCACCTGGTTCCCAATGCAAGTCATCTGAGATGCACCCATTTAATTAGCCATCCTTGAACCCTAGCGAGAAAAGCCCCACACCTAAGAGTGTCACCAGTAGTTAGCACAATAGCACATGTTCAGGACACACTTTTGCATGAAACACCCCCAGGAGGAAAACCAAATGGTGCCTGTATGCTGTCTGCCCCTTCTTCTTTCCTAAGAAGGTCTTCCCTCAAACCAATGGTTTAAAGCGGCTGAAGGTATGTTTGTGAAACATAGAAACGGAGCGAGTCAGAATGGGCCTCCCGGGCCATCTAGTCTGACGTCCAGCACCAGCCGGCTCCACTCATGACATGCCCACCATGTGGACGTCCAGCCTGTCCTTGAATACCCGCACCGATGGGGCCTCAACCACCTCTCGTAGAAGCCCATTCCACATCCTCAAGGTCCTGACTGTCAAGAAGTGCTTCCTGGCATCCAAATGGAACCTGGGCTCCCTGAGCTTTGCTCCATTGGAGCACATCCTGCCTTCCTCTGCAGGGGAGAACAGGTCTCTACCCACCTCCATGTGACATCCCCTCACTTACCTGTATGTTGCCAACATATCCCCTCTGAGACTTCTCTTCTCCAGGCTGCAGAGACCCAGTTCCCTCAGTCTGGCCTCATACGGCATCCTCTGCAAACCGGCCACCAACCTTGTGGCCCTACGCTGCACTGACTCCAACCTGGCTATATCCTTTCTGGTATGAGGGGCCCAAAACTGAACACAATACTCCAGTTGCGGGCGCACCAGAGTCGTGTAGAGTGGTAGTAATACCGCTCATGATCTAGAAGCCACACTTCTGGCTATGCAACCAAGGTTGGTGTTCGCCGTCTTGACCACTGCATCACACTGCTGACTCATGTTTAGCCTGCAGTCAACCAGCACCCCGCGGTCCCTTTCACAAGTGCTGCTCTCCAGCCACTTGTCACCTAACCTGTACTTATGACAGCTATTCCTATGCCCCAAGTGCAAGACCTTGCACTTATCCACATTGAACGCCATCCTGTTGTCTCCTGCCCACTTCCATAGTCTGTCCAGATCCTTTTGGATCTGGAGTACCTGCTCCTCAGTTGTGGCCACTGCTCCAGTTTCAGTGTCGTCTGCGAATTTGATCAGCAGACTGTTCACCCCTTCTTCCATGTTGTTAAGGAAAAGATTAAACAGGATCGGCCCCAGGACAGAGCCCTGGGGGACCCCGCTTGTCACTGGCCGCCATCCCAATGATTCCCCACTAATGGTTACCTTCTGCTTTCGGTCAGTCAACCATGCCCTAATCCACCGGACAGTCCTTTGGTGTATCCCAAAACTCCTCAGTTTCTCCACCAGGATATCATGGGGCACTTTGTCAAAGGCCTTGCTGAAATCCAGGTATACCACATCCACTACATCCCCTCCATCTAGC